AGAGCCCACTGGAACTTTAACAAAAGGCACGTGAGTCACGTGAGCAGAAAGGGCGGTACGGGCTCCCGGAAGGTCGGTGGGCGGTAGAGGCTCCGGGAGCCCGGGTGCAGGCCGGCCGCTGAGGTCGAAGCAGGCGTTTCTGAAGGGAGAGCCACGCCAACCGTGAGTTCTTGTAACTTCTTTATTAAACTCTAGTGATATTTCTACTGTGCCCACACAGCGTTAATAAGAGAGTGTGCTGCCTAGAGTTCGGTTCTTTCGATCTGAGCTGAGTAGAGTTGTCTAGTCTGGCTTACACTTAAGAAACGGACTTTCTTTTTCATGGTCTAAGTTCAACGAGTTCTTACGCAGTTGTTCAGGGCACAAAGATAAACAGGGCCGCCTTCTCGATTTCGGAGTGTTTCCCCTTTAAAGGAGACAGAAAATTTTTAAATAGAAAGTGATACAATGCAACAGAAGGTTACTTGGGGAACATAAACTTCCTGGTGGCAAAGAGCCGAGATTTAGAAGCTAAACTGTCTACAAGATGGGGGGTGGGGGGAGATTGAAAGGGCTTGTCCATCAGAGAAGGCTTCAGCCGCGGCTTGGAGGGATGAGGGACATGGTAGTTGTGATACAGGGGTGCTCCCCGGGGACGTGGCTGGAGAGCTTCGGAGAAGCCAAGTCAGAGGGGACTTTGTTTTAAAAGGAGCTGAACTTGAAGGTGCTGGAGTTTTTTAAGGGTTTTGCGCAGAGGTGATCTAGGTAGGCGTGCTTCTGCTGAGACGCTTCAAAGTAAAGGAAATACCAGAGGCCAGGGTACTGAGAGGCTGCAGCGTTGGTCCTAGCTGAGAGATAATGCACAGTAGTGTGGACAAAGAATGAGAATGTTTGGGGGCAAAATGAGAAACGTGCTCCTGTTCAACGTGCAGACAGTTCACTGTCAATTGTGTTCGGCTTTTCTCGTTCTGAATTGCATTTACATTCATATCTATTACCTAAAAGGGGGATACTGGGGGAAAAAAACACGGTTAATTCTTTAACAAGAAATCGTTTTTGAAAACTTGGTACCCTGGAACTTGGTTTGTAGGCTGTGGAAGCAGGAATAGCTGCACAGGGGTCGTCATGGAGACCCTTGGGCTGACACGAAGTCCTATTCTAATTAGGTTTCTCACCTTTAGTCGTGCCCTCAAAGACTCTTTTCAGTTCTCCGTTCTCGCTTCCAGATATCTACTTTTTCTTTAACAAATTAGCACCTAAGGATTGTTAATTCCACCAGCAGATGGTCCTGACACATACAAGCCTCCCCCATTAAAACGTTTTTTAATCAGGATGTTCTCGGCCCACACGGAGTTCCTCCCCAGACTGCATCAATAGCTTCAGGCCTTAAGGCATTTCAGTGAGGCTCAGGTGGCTGAGCTCTTGGCAAACTGCCCTTCCCCCTCTGGTCTCCCGGCGCGTCCCCTGCCGAGCTCAGCGCATCGCAAATGCTAAATTTCAGATGGGGCTGAAATCGTTATTGGAAAGGCTGTCGTTCAGAACCACTGTTCTGAGCCTGTGACCATGAAGGCTCTTGGGAGGGAGGTGGCTGTCCACCGTGTCCTGGTGGGAGATGGGAAGAGGTGGGTGCTTATATCTCATCATCCTGCTGACGAGGGTATTTGCTGTGAAGCGTTTACACTCTGATTTGCCATGACAGGGCAGTGAAAACAGGACACAGTACTCAAAACCCAAGTCCTTTTGTATAGTAATTTATACATTGCAGCGTAGTCACATCATCAGCAGAAAGAGATCCAGGCTACACCAGCCAGATGGCCAGGCACACGCAAGCCTCCTGGTTATTTCCAATCATGTTCTCACTAGACCCCCGTCTTCCTCTCCGTGCTTTCAATTTAGACCTTGATGATCTCTGCCAAATAGCATTCAGTTCCAACTGTTTGCAAGGAGCTGTGCTGGGGTGGGAAGAGGGTTTAAGAGGGTCCAAGAAGCATTGATCCCTTCCAAGAGTCAAGGACTGTCCCAGAGGCTGCAGATAAAAACGCATTTCACATGAGCCCCATTGTCCTGAATGGCCCATCCTACAGGGCAGCCGGTGGAAGAGGGGGGCTGAGGCCCAGAACAAGGTCCTAGAGGCAGGATCAAGCAAACTCTGCTTTGGGAGATTTCACGAAGGAGACGTGGGGTACACGTTCCCAAAGACTGAGTGTGAGTTCCACAAGGCAGAAAAGGAAGGGCCTAACCCTCTAGGGAGACACATGGGCTGCTCTCTGCTGCCCTGACACTGATATCCCCAAATCAGGTGGTGGGTTGGGCTCAGTACCGGGATGACGGCTGCTACTGAGGTGGAGGCAGGTGGGTGTGAAGCCAGCACCTCACCAAACAGAAAGAACTGGCCACACTGGGCATGGCTCCTTGTCCAGCCTCCTCGGCAGAGGCAGTTTTCACAGTCCTAGGTTTTCGGGCCCCAGTTTGAAAGAGATCAGATATGGAGTAATAAGTCGAAAAAGGGGTAGGGTTTTTTGGGTTTTTTTTTTTTTTTGCAGGGCTTTGCCTGCAACAAAACAGTTGGTTTTCAAATTTTGATATTCAGCAGAATCACCTGGAGCAGCTGTTCTCAAAGTGGGGTCAGGAGACCAGCATCAGCATCCATCACCTGAGAGCTTAGGGGAAAGCAGATTCTCAGGCCCCCGGGACCTGCTCGGTCACAGGCTCTGATCTGCTTTAATGACCCCGCCAGGTGATTCTGATGTGCTCAAGCTGGAGAATGCTTAGCCTAAGACTCCTACAGTTCCTCACCACCATTCACAGCTTCCACATCAGGTGATGAGATATTTTGCCAGTCATTGCAGCCGTGCCCTCCTGGTCCCACTCCCTAAGCAGGCTTCAGCTTGTTTCCTAACTGTCCCCTCCACATTTCCAGGGTCACTGGTGCCTGTGTTCAGCCGCTCACTATCCGTTTCTTATCTAACATGCCCTCTGAGCCACAGTGATTGCATCTGTCAGACAGAGGCAATCGTACCATGTGGGCTTCTCAGGATTAGAGGTGATGTCTGGGAGGCATCTGGTGCAGCTCCTGACAATTGGTGTCTTAGCTCAGGCTGCTGTAACAAAGCACCACAGTCTGGGGGGCTTATGAACAACAGAAATTTATTTCTCACAGTTTTGGAGGCTGGAAGTCCCAGATCAAGGTGTCAGCATGCTGGGGTTCTGGTGAGAGTCCTCTTCCTGGTTGCAGAAGGCCAACTTCTCATATCATCACATGGGGGAAAAACTCTTTGGGATCCGTTTGTAAGAGCCCTAATCCCATTCATGAGCATTCCAACCTAGTCACCTGCCCAAAGCCCCACCTTCAGATACCATCACATTGGGGTGTAGAGTTTCAACACATGAATGGGGGGTGGGGCGCATTCAGTCCATAACTCTTGGAAATAGGCAGTAACTGACAGCTGCCAGACTGCTGTGCCTCCTGTCCTGCGGCCAGGTCCCTGCTCTTTGCAGTGGATGGTTATCAGAAAAACAACCCCTGGGGACTTCCCCAGTGGTTAAGACTCCACCTGCCAGTGCAGGGGACACGGGTTCGAGCCCTGGTCCGGGACGATTCCACATGCCGCGGAGCAACTAAGCCCGTGTGCCTAGAGCCCATGCTCCGCAATGAGAAGCCTGCGCACTGCAGTGAAGAGTAGCCCATACGTTGCAACTAGAGAAAAGCCCGCGTGCAGCAACGAAGACCCCACGCAGCCAAAAACAAAAAAAAAAAAACACACAACCCCTGGAAGTATTTGGTAGTCAACATGCCCCATTCCTCTCTCAGACTGACTAAATCAACCATGAAAAGCATGTAAAGAGTCTGCCATAGTGGAGGTTCGTTCTGAGCACTGTGACCTTTCCCTGTTCTAACCTTCCTGCTCCAGGGCTGTGTACAGTCAGCACTGTTTGGATCCCTTCAAGTACCAACTGTCCCTCCTAACCCCTCTCTGCCCAGGCCACACCTGTACTTGTTTCTACCTGTAGCCCATGGCCCATCGCAAGGGCCACCGATCTAGTTGCAGACTCATACAGGAGGATGTTAGAGGAGGAATTCCTGTCTAGATTGACATGTTTATTGAGATACCTGTAGGACCCCTTCCAAACCTCCAAGGCTAGCGTTGACCCAGCACTCCTTGACCAGATGCCCAACAGGTTGCTCTGAAGTCTTTGCAAGCAGACGTCTTTTCAGAAAATTCATTCTTGATTAAGTGATCCCCTTCCAACACAATTCCACCCAATGCCTTTCTCGGTATATTCCCAGAATATCAAGGCTGGCTTTGAGAATATAATCTTCAAACAAAATCCTGTCCCCTCCTTTGGTATGGACTGATACGTTAGCTTCTTATATTTTGAAATCAGTTTGCCTCAAATGACACTAACTTGATTGTGCCTATAGAACTTGAGATTCCCTCCCTCCCTCCCTTCCCCCCCCCCTCGCTCTCTTTCACACACACACACACACACACACACACACACATACATACACACATAAACACAGACACACACTACTTGAAAGAAAAAGTATTCCCAAACTCAGGATAAAAACACCATGGCTCCCACTTGCTATAGGGAAGACAGTCTTCAATCCAAGTTCACTATTCACTCCAGGATGGTGCAGAATGCTTTCTTCCTGAGATTTTAGCTGATCGTTACCATTGGCAGGTGAACCAGTCAGCGTGGCACTACCAGAGTAAACACAGTTGATGTTAGCCTTAATAACTGTCTCTCGTGCAGAAGTGTTTGAGGTGAGTGATGCAGATCAGGAGGCTGGCAGGTGAGGAGGTGCTGCCCTGTGCAGAGATCAGACCTGGCAGGACAGTCAGATGAATCAATCAACCTGTGTGAGTTAGGGATTTGTCTGGGTGTTTTTCCCCTTGCAGCTAAATTGAGTGTCCGGTAAACTCCAAACTCCTCTTAGCCAAGAAACAGTTGTTCCCATTCTTATCCCCAGGGCTCGTGAGTGTGAGTTGGTTTTGACAATGCTCCGGGGACAGTCAAAACACGGAGTCCTCCAGGGTCTCAGATCCAGCCTCCTCCGCATAGCTTATGACTTCAATTTCTGTTTCACTGGAACCAGTTTTCTGCAAAACAAAGCATCCTTCCTTAGATGTCTTCTAGAGAACTTTCTGAGTCTTTGAATTTCTTTACAGTTGGTTTCAAGTCAATTTTGCTTATGGAAATAGTAAATGGTCACTGAAGAAAATACGGAAAATAAGTAGGAAGAAAACCAAAAAATACCGATGAACTTAACTCCCAAGCACAGCCCACTGTTTGTCTTCAGCCCTTTTTTCTAGATAGAAAGTTACCTTTACAGTTATATGAAGAGCTTTATAAGTGGATTTCTTTCTACGTAGCATCACATCCTATTTTAAATTCCATACAGCCAGCCCTCGGTATCCACAGGCTTCACACTTTTACATAACGGACCCGAGCGTCTGCGGATGTTGGTGCCCGCCGGGTCTCTTGGAACCATGCTCCCTGCAGATGCTGAGGGATGACTGTATGTTCTTCGGCTGCCTCATTTTGAATAGTTCCATTGTATGCCATCCACAGTTGACTGTAGTCTTCCCTTAAATAGGGGTGTTATGTCCAATTTTGGCTATTATAGATAATGCTGATATTAATTACAAAATTCATGACCAAAAAAATACCTTCTGTAAGAGATTGTATTCCTTGACACCCCCCCCCCCTTTACTCATTCAGCACATCTTTTTCATTTTTTTTTTTTTTTTTTTACAACCCTTTAGACATGAGAAATCCATTCTTAGCTGACAGGTCGTACAAAAACAGGCCCCGGCCCTATTTGGCTTGTGGGTCATCGTTTTCCAACTCCTGCTCTAGACCACAGTTCACTGAGGGCCTTCCCGGACCGGGGCACGAACCCGCGTCCCCTGCATCGGCAGGTGGACTCTCAACCACTGCGCCACCAGGGAAGCCCTTTTTCATATTTTTTTAAGTGAAGTATAGTTGATTTACAGTGTTGTGCCCGTCTCTGCTGGACAGCAGTGACTCAGTTCTACACATATATATTATTTTTTTATATTATTTTCCATTATGGTTTATCACAGGATATTGAATATAGTGTCCTGTGCTATACAGTAGGACCTTGTTGTTTATCCATCCTATATACAGTAGTTTGCATCTACCACCCCCAAACTCCCAGCCCATCCCTCCCCCCACCCCGCCCTTGACAGCCACAAGTCTGTTCTCTATGTCTATGAGTCTGTTTCTGTTTTGTAGATAGGTTCATTTGTGCCATATTTTAGATTCCACATATAAGTGATATTATATGGTATTTGTCTTTCTCTTTCTGACTGACTTCACTTAACATGATAATCTCTAGTTGCATCCATGTTGCTGCCAATGGCATTATTTCATTCTTTATGGCTGACTAGTATTCCATTGTACTGTATATACGCACCACATCTTCATTATCCATTCATCTGTCAATGGACATTTAGGTTGTTTCCATGTCTTGGCTATTGTGAACAGTGCTGTTGTGAACACAGGGGTGCATGTATCTTTTTGAATTATAGTTTTGTCCAGGAGTGGGATTGCTCGATCATATGGTAGTTCTATTTTTAGTTTTCTGAGGAACCTCCATACTGTTTTCCATAGTGGCTGCACCAACTTACATTCCCACCAACAATGTAGGAATCATTCCACACTTTTGTTTTTTTGGCTGTGCTGGGTCTTAGTTGCAGCACGGGGGATCTTTCTTAGTTGCGGCACGTGGGCTCTCAGTTGCAGCATGCGTGTGGGATCTAGTTCCCTGACCAGAGATTGGACCCGGGTCCCCTGCATTGGGAGCGTGGAGTCTTAACCACTGCACCGCCAGGGAAGTCCCAGCACATTTTTTGCACTGGACACCACGTGATGCATTGAATATGCAGCGATGAACACGGCACCTGTGCTCCCTGCCTTACGTATTTTTTTTTTTTTTTTTTTTTTTTTTTCCTTGCGTTATGCGGGCCTCTCACTGTTGTGGCCTCTCCCATTTGCGGAGCACAGGCTCCGGACGCGCAGGCTCAGCGGCCATGGCTCACGGGCCCAGCCGCTCCGCGGCATGTGGGATCTTCCCGAAACGGGGCACGAACCCGCGTCTCCTGCAACGGCAGGCGGACTCTCAAGCACTGCGCCACCAGGGAAGCCCCTTACGTATTTTTAATAGGTTGTTGTCTACTTAGTCTCGGAAGGAACCCTCTCCGGTTACCAGCGTAGAAACAAAGAATGGCTGGAAACCAGTCTGTAACAAATGGAAAGCTGAGAATAAGAGTCTTTTCAGTGAGTCTTTTTTATCACTAAAAAGCTCATCCCCCTGCTTCCTCCCTCCCTCTCCTCCCACCAGAACCTGTGTCTTGAACGTTACAGAACAATTTCTAACTCAGGCCTGGACAAGCAAAAACATGCTTAACAGCCTCTCTGGGTTGGCAGCTACCCTCTGAACCCCAGGATTCTGGGTACCAACATCAAGCTTAGAGGTGTGAGCGGTGATGAAAAGCGGAGGGTTTCCTTTCCCACCAGCGGGAGGCTTCCCGGCGGTTTGCCCATAACTCTAATGGGCCCCCTCGTTGTCCTTGTAGCAAAGGCCCCAAAAGTGGGTTACACAGGCTCTGCCTTTGAAGGTACAGGCTGGGGCACTGCCTCACATGGCCCAGCTGTGGTCAGCTCTGTACTGAGGCACCTACTCCTCCAGGTGGAGGTGGTAGAACTGAGAGCAGGAGGTGACCCTTCATTTCCCCAGTTCTCCCCACTCTCCCCTCCGCCCTGCGGCCCTCCCGCCTCACCCCATCCCTCTCACTGATCTGTTTTTCCTGACCCGCTGCAATGTGAGAGGAAAGTGCGTTGTCTGGAAGAGCTTGGCAGTGATGGGTTTTGACACGAATCCTTTGCTTATTCTGAAACCAGCCTGTCTACCCCAAGAGTTGTTGTTTTGCACACATGACTTGATGGTTTGTTTGTTTGTTTGTCTTTTTTTGGCTGCATCGGGTCTTGGATGTGCGGGCTTCTCTCTAGTTTTGGCGTGTGGGTTTTCTCTTCTCTAGCTGTAGCTCACAGGCTCCAGGGCGTGTGGGCTCTGTAGTTTGCGGCACATGGGCTCTCTAGTTGAGGCGCCGACCTCAGTAGTTGTGGTGCTGGCTTAGATGCCCCGCGGCATGTGGGATCTTAGTTCCCCAACCAGGGATCAAAGCCACGTTCCCTGCACTGGAAGGCTGATTCTTTACCACTGAACCACCAGGGAAGTCCCCATGAGTTGATTTTAATTAACAACAAACCGCAAACTTACACAGTAAGCTGTTAAGCCAGTTTCTTTTACCAACCTCAGAATGTGCAAGGAAATCTTTGGGGGCTGTGAAGGGAAATGAGATACCAGCACTAAGATGTGCTATTAAGAGACTGGGACAGATGACTTGAGTCTGCTGCTTAAACCACAGGTGCTTTCCAGGCATGAGTGTGCCAGATCCAGGAGGGATCCACAGCACGAATTCACAGGAAGAGAAACAAGTTTCACAGTGGGGCACACCTTCCTTCCAGAAAAGCTACGGGTTAACAAGAGCAAGCCGGAGGTCCCCCTGATAAAGGAGACCACAAGGGTGGAACTGAGGGTAGGGGTGACTTTTGGGCCAGCCTCGATTCTCTGCTTCAGTAGGTCAGTAACTGTCATGCGCTAAATCATCCCAAACACCCGAACTGCAAACTCTAAAGAAAGGTCACCTCTTACTGCAGTGATGCATTTTGGTGAGTGAGTGATCGACCCAAACGCCCCTACAACCAGTCACCAGTTGACTCATCCTACCATGAGTAACTTTATCAGAGAGAAAATGAAATTTGTTAAGAAAATTGCTTGATGAGGGTCTGCAGTCTGCAGCCTGTGGGCTGAGTCTGGCTCATTGCCAGATTTTGTAAAGTTTTATTGTCCAGAGCCATTTGCATATTGTCTGTGGATGTTTTCCCACTACAGTGGCAGTGTGATAAAGCATTTGGCCCTTGAATGTTTACTATCTGGCTCTTTACAGAAAGTCGGCTGGCCCCTGATCTAAATAACCATTCAATTTAAGGACAGATTTAACAAGCAACCTGCAATACACTGAACATCCCAAGACCTTGCTGACAAAAATTAAAGAAAACCTACAAAAATAAGGTGAGATGTCACATTTACAGATCGGAA